TTGACTCATCATAGTCATCCATTAGAACCAGACATCAGCAAATATAAAAAAAGAAGCGGGGAATGCTTTTACCGGACGTCCGCACTCTACGCAAAATCTGCCTACAACTACAGAGTCCAATATCCTAAGTCCATTAATGAATATAGGCTATTTGCATGAATGAAAGACATCAGATCATGCCCGGTTGCATATTACTCTTAATTATTGTCCTGAAATAAAAACCTATTTTTTGAATCAATATTTACGGGTTCTCGTTACCTTAAAATGTTTTATGCAATTCGACCGGAGTGTGTAAATTAGTTCTCATGAAAGGGGGTGAAAGAAAAAAATTACAATCAACGACCTCTTGGTGTTTTGGGTTCGCGTGCACGGAGGAAAAAATGAGAGACGGTTCGCAGTCAAGAAAGTTTTTGAAGTTTTTGAAGTTTTTTTTTCTTTCAGGAGAAGTTCCTTCTCATCCCTTTTCAACCTGTAATTCCAATGCTCATGGCCTACGAAACCCGACGCTTTTACAGTGACATTTCAATTCGGGGTCCGGTTGAAGCACTTGATTGAGCGCCGCATCTCCAAACATACTTTACCTCCCCCGCCCCCGTATAATTGTAAAGTAGTTGATAGTCTTACATCTTCCTAAATTCTACTTCTTCCTAAATCGTTACAGTTTGCAATGTTCATTAAAGAATAAATTCATCTCCGCTTAGCAGGATACAAGTTTGCCAAGCAGGAGATACAATTTTTCGCAAAAAATGAACAACTTCTCTTTGTTTTGATTTGTTTGTTGTTGTAAAACTATGACGTAATAGATGACCCTAACTACTATTCTTCTTGGAAAGTCACGAAACTGATTAATTTGCAAAACAAAAGATAGCAAAACCGGTATAAAATTGATCAAAATAAGGCTTTTGAGAAAAATGGAAAAAAGTCAAGACAAATGAATCACGTAATTGTTTTTTAAAGATGATTTGAATCTCGTAGTGTGAATAGCACGCTGACTTTGTTTGAAACTCTTCCGGAATTTCAAAGTAGTTCAATAGAGTTTATTTACGAAAGGCCATGACACAGAATATAGAGGCCTTTTTGCGCACGAACTGTATTTAGAAATAACATTAACTGCGGTTGAAGTTTGACGCAAGTCTTTGTGCTACTCCCTTTGTTGTACTTTGTTCATGGACTCAAATGCAGCGTGACGTTTTTAGTGTCTCATGCCAATAGCGCAAATGTTTAACATTCTTCCTTTTCAGTCTTTGATGTATCGACTAGCAAATTGCTATGCAAGCGATTAATTAAACACTACAGTGATTTTCAACGACTTGTCAAGACGTCCCAGTTCTTTGTTTCGTTGGGTGACAACCGTACTAAAAGGGCGATTGAGGTTGAAAGCTGGGAGAGTGCTTGCTCGGCAAATCATTTTGACAGACAGTTACCGATTAATTCTACTCGTGATGGCTGATCGGGTTCCACGACGCAGCAACAATATCATTTTGTCTGCCCAGCAGCTTGATTACAATGCAAGTATGGCTCGTGATCTGAACAAACGCGCGCACAATCGCTTACAACTTCACAAGGGAAACATAGAGGAACATCAGACAGCCAATTTAAACTCCATGAATTACGAAATGAGGCGAATCAAACACGAGTTGAAAGACATCGCGAATTCTTCGGGAACTTTAGATCAATTCGGTGAAAAAATGGCGAGTAAAGCCAGAAATGATACAGCAAGAAGGGGAAAAAAGTTTAGGAGAATGGAATCTGGGAAAAACGTGCGAAAAGGCAAAATGTCGGACTTGTCAACCAATGCCATTACGGACGGCAACAAAGGAAAGGTTCGAGAGGCACAAAATTCGGACATTTTACGTACACGACGAAAAAGTTTATCGTTACCAACGTTACCCTCCATGAACAGTACATCTGTTTTAACTTCTCGGGTTCCACCAGACCTAACCTCAAGGACAAATACCGAGTTCGCAATTAGAGAAGCCCAGGCTAACTCTTCGCGTTTTTCATCGAAGCTCAATAAAGAAACTGCAAAGCGACGGCAATCGAGGAGAAAACTGAGCCTTGAGGCTACGACGTCATCGGGTCAAGCAACTGAACAACCGATATCTGTTTCTGTAACAGATACCAGCGGTGAAACCGAGAGAATTCGACCTGCCTCGCCACGAGGGGCTCCAAAAGCTGACTCTCTTTTGGTAAATCTCAGCCTTGATGCTGTTAAAGACAGGATTCAAAATAGGCTTTCTCAACCACCAAATCAATTTATCGACGATGACAATGAAGACTCTGATATAACACCTTATATGCATGTCCCACCGGACGGTCTACCAAGAACAGTGTACCTCCTCCCTCCTTTGCAAGATCTGTTACAAGAGGCAAAGAAAGCTAGATACGTACGGAGACCTAGAAAGCCTTTTCAAGCAGTGGACAAAGACGATCCAGAAAGGGAGTTGGGAATTGATGAAATATTTAGTAAGAAAGGATAACTGATCGGCATCCAATATCGTTTTTTACATATGGAATCAAGCGTTAAGTTTGAATACTACTGGCTATCACAATATGACATACTAAGAGAGAAATAATTAGTTCGTAAAAAGGGTTTTATGCCTTTCAGATACACACAACAGTAAATACTCACAGCGGATAAAAAAGATCAGGGTTGATTTAGTCTCGTTATGGGAAAAAGAGCGAGTCAAGTGTGACGCCGGAAAATAGTAAGTTTACCTTGAACCTCGCATCTAAATAAACAAGCAAAAAAGAAAACAATCGTGTACATTGTATGTAAAACGTGTGGTGAAAATGACAGTCATTACATTCGATCCATTTATACTTAACTGGTCAGGAGATTTACTGTCAAACTGTCGGTGCTGTTTTCACATTCCTTCAAATACTTTAAAGTTGCGTAATCTTGCATGTGTATGTCACATACAGAGCTATCCAATATTGCCAAATTCCGTCTTTGGCATCTCTAACAAGCTTTTCAAACTTTATTGTTCACTTTAGACAACATCAATCAACCTGTCTGCCTTCTTCAGGTTATTTAATTTCACAAAGTTCAAGAAAGTAAATGCATAAAAGTGAAACAAAAGGAGAAAAAAGAAAAAGCGAGTTTTCGACGGATACTATTATGATCCCTAAAGCCATTATTTAAAGACAAAACATTTTAATTTATGGTCTACAATTCCGTTCTTGAAATCATGGTTAACATGGTTAAACTCCCTCTCGCCAAAACTGGCAAACAACTACAAGTGAGCGTTTTAACAAATTGCTTGATTGCATAGCATGCACCCCTGGTTCCTACGGGGTCTATTGAGAGCAAAAACTAGGTTCAGAAGGAATGCTACAAATTTTTCTTATCATCGGGGAAAAATTTGGATAAACCTAACCAAATTACTAAGAGTAATCAACCAAACTTAATTATCCGCAAGCTCAAAAACTTCGCCGGAGCGGTTTTATTTGTTTGCAACTCTGCAACTTAAGGTATCTGCACAGGCAAATTTTGCACATTTTTGCATCATTTTTAGTGGTTGTTTTATGGATAATATCTATATGTCACTACATTGACTCACTGGTATAAAGTAATCACTTTGAGGTAAGATATCACAAACTTTTAAGGAATTTTTCTGAATTTGCCAGCTGGTAAACAAGACCTCTCATTACCCCACCTCCTGGGAGGTAAACTTCTATCACTTCTCAATTAACACCTCATTGAGAAAATCATTTGTCACGCATCGATTAAATTTGTTTGCAATTCAAGTAGCAACGGCGACAACTGTCTAGAAAATCGTAATCGGTGGGTCTGTGGCGAGTCCACTCATCTATTTCCAGTTCTGTCAGTACTTTAGGAAACTGAAGTCCTCATTAATTCCCCTCACAAAATAGAATGTCTCGGGCTAGTATGTGAAAATTCGGTCAATGCAGGATTAAGTAATTAAACAATGCTTAATCCTTCATCATACGGAGGCCTTCAATAAACTTTTTAATTTACTTTATACGACGATACACTGCAGGGTACGGATTACAGTAAAAGCACAGCTTTATACGATTAATTTCAACGCCACTCCAAAAAGCGTCGACAAGAGGCGCTGTTAGAGAGTTTAAAACTACGGACGGCAACTGTGACGGCAACGAGAACGTCGTGCCGGTAAAACGGATTATTGATGGAGAAAGGGGAGGTAAAAGCTGACCACGTTTTATGCTCTCTCTCGCTCTCTCGTCATCGCAACATTGTTTAGCTCTTAGGGTCGACCAAATTGGAAATGAGTCAAAACGCGATTAATGTTTAAAACTGGCTAAACTTCCGACAGTGATTTTGGGACAAAAAGTTCATAGCCTGCGCCACAGACGGATCTAAGGGAGGGGCCATTAGAAAACTTAAGGGGGTGGGGGCGGGCGAAGTACAAAAATATATATATTTGCGGGGTGGGGGTGTGTGGGCGAAGTACAAAAAAAAAAAATTTGCGCAAGGGAAAATTAAATGAAAAAAATTCATGCACGCCAATTAACCCTAAAAAATATTCATGATATGTCCTAAAAAAGATTCATACAAGGAAAATTATAACAAAAAAATTCGTGTAGCTCGAAAATTCCCCACCTCCACCTCATAAACTTCTGGTTAAGTCCATCTGTTACCAACCGGGGTTAGATTACGTCTGCGATCCGAATGCGACACAGGATAAAAGTTCAAGGCCCCCCGTGTTGTATGGTAGTCACGCCCCAGGGTAAAAATATATGGCCAATTCCAAGTGATCATCATAACAGGGTGGCCATATGGCGGGGTTCCACTTAACGAGGAATAAAGTTCTGCGATCCGCGAGAGCTGGACATATTCATTGCTCGTTACTCCTAACTCAACACTTCAAGCAGGAATTGTGAGACCCAAGTGCTAAGTACAATTGATACCCCTGATTGATACCAAATAAAAGAGATGATTGTCAAAAATAAGTTTTTACTTTCTGGTCTATATCAAGATTTTCGTTACCAGTTTTCATACATTTAACAATTATTCTTTGAAATCGAGGTGAATAGTGGCAAAATATTTACCGAGCCGCGAAAGCGGCGAGGTAAATATTCCCAAAGCCACTATTCACCGAGATTGAGAAGAATAATTGTTTTAGTATATACACACGAAGTGATCTCAACAAAATCAGAAAGGAAACCATTCAAAAGTAGGATTTGATTGACAGATCAAATCACGCGTAAGTTTAAAAATAGATCTTTGCAGAATTTTCAAACATGGCAATTCACAAGTTTACTCATTTCGCAAACAACAGCGTAATGGCTTCAATGGAATCGCTAAAAGTTTGAACTGTTTCCTTACCTGAGAAAAAAAAGTAGAGCTGTGTTGTTTTCTGTTGACTCGCCAAGTTTATAGCCAAAAGGGCATGTTGTGTCGTTCTTCGCATGAAGTGCTGACAAAAATGGCGGCTCGGTTGCTCGAGGTAAGAGGTCGTCTTCCTGTATCATTCTTTTTCCTGTTTACTTGAAATGTAGAATTTCTGCAAACATTTCCTTTTAAATTTGTTTGTCATAAATAAACTTCGATTTTTGAGCCAAAATTTTCTTCTTAGAAAACGCTGAGTTCACGAAACGGCTTCTTCTACGCGAATACACGGGAGTTGTAAACAATCCATCGAGCACAAAACTCCTGCTACAGTAAATTGAAAAACGCCGTATTGAATCCTTCCAAAACTTTTCTTGCCTTAAAAAAAGTCAGCCCTAGGATTTTGTCGACTTTTAAAAGATCGTTCTCTAAAAAAAACGGGAAAAACACCGAGCTCACACATTATCCACTCGCTAGGAGGTGAATATTGTTGAATAGTCCGAGATAGCGAACCAATCAGATTGCTTAAATCACCAAGATCACTGAGTGTGTATATACTAATTGACATTATCTTTCGCAGGAGACTCACTTTCTGAATCAACACTTCTTTTCCCAAGGGTATCGGGACTTTCGTTGTCATGGATTTTCTCCTGTGTGGGCTCAACCGGTGTAAAAATTCCCGGAATACTAGATTTTCCAGAAAGATAAAAGCACGTAATGACTGTTCTGCCATTGTATATCCACCCAGTAAGAGCACTATGAGCCCGCGAGCAGTCATCTGCGTCAAAGTATTGGATCAATACCTGAGGACGAACAGACCTAATTTTAGCCTATTGGCTATTCTGTGGTTGCGCGTCCAATCGCACCAAGAGACTGTTTTGAAGACTCTATCGCTTGTTTTATTGGTTATTTGCCATATACCGTAATGCACCTTGTTTGAACTCAGACTGCGCGTCCAATAGCACCAAGAGACTGTTTTGGAGACTCTATCGCTTGTTTTATTGGTTACTTACCATATACCGTAATGCACCTTGTTTGACCCCAGACTTTGGCAGAATCGTGGTTTTCAGTTTCTCCTAGGTATTACAGTCGTCCCAAGAGAAATCGAAAACAATGGTGATGCAAATTTTTGGGAGGTAAAAAGGTGCGTTATGGTTCATGTGAAAATGGTGAGTTCCTGGTTTTCACTTGACGTCAACAGAATTCAAAAAAAAAAAGAACTATCTGTCCTCCTACGTTTTTACTTTCATGAAGCCATGTTTTAGAGCAGCTAAAAACTTATATTTTAAAAAGATTTTCACTTCGAAAGGGTTCTTCGCTTGAATTTCTATAAACCTTTCGTGTGACAGGGCATTTACGTGGCGGCCGAGAGTTAAAAAAGTGACGTATATATTTTTTGGTGAGGGGGAATTTGCTATCTGAACAGTCTGAACAGTTCTGGTAAAAGGAAAAGCATTACTTTCATGTTTTTGTGTTCCTCGAGGGATGAATTCACGCTTTCGTGGCAAAAACTCGGTAATAAACTAGTGCCGGATCCAGACCTTGGGATCGGGGGTTGGGGGTCATCCAGACCCTCAGATAAGGAAGGGGGGCCGATCTCCCAAAAAAAATTTTTTCGGCCCTTCGGGCCTCAGCTTGGTCCAAAAATAAGGGGAGGCCCAGGTCCCCGGGCCCCTCCCTGGATCCGCCACTGTAAACAAATGTTTCTGTCAAGTGGTTTCCAGCCATCATGTTGGTGCCCCTCTCTATACAAAGCTCTATAAATTTGGGTAAAACCTTTCTTCGAATAGCATGTGAAGAAGTGCACCGACCTCAAAAATTCCACTTCCTGCCAGATGGAGCTATCAAACTGTCGCTTGCGTTCAACTCAAGCTATTTGTTTCGGACATTTGCACCGCTCCATGTTATAAATCTTCAGAGGTTGTTTGTCTTACTTTATTCATAATTACCTTCCCATCAGTTGAACCTCTTGTGATTTGTAGAATAACACCAAACCTTGCACACATTTCCTCAACGTCCTTCAGAGAGTCCGCTATACAAAAGTAAAACGTAGCAGATTCAGATAATTAATGTTTTGTTAAGAGAGGGTGGTTTTACATTTGAAAGTTTTCAAAAGTAACTGTCAGGTAGTGATATTTTCGAAGGGGACGGTTTCCCGTGCTTGATCAGAAAAAGTTAACCTTTTTTCTCAGCTTTCTTGAAATTGAAATTTAGAAAAAGATATAATTTTGTGTGTTGAAAATCTGTAAATACGATGCAATCATATCTTCTTAACTTAACCGTATAAAATCATCCCTTTCTCTGAGCGGCAAAACTGGTCAAAAAAAGGAAGAAAAAACTATCACTGAATGAAGGAATGTGGACGACGAAACAAATTCAATTCCCTCGTTGTTTTGACAAGAGACCCCGCCAGCGAAAGGCACTATAAACCTACTCTGATCACGCACTTTGGCAGGCTAACAAATACAGTCAAACCATGTTAATACGGACACTGAGGGGGTCATAGAAAGTGTTTGGACTGATAGGGTGTCCGTATTAAGAGGGTTAAATTTAGAGAAAATATGGATCATTAAACTTTTCCAAGAGAGAATGATGGGAAACTACTCACCTACCCCTCCCCTACGCCAACATTTTTCCCTAAGTGAGAAGTAAGCGTTAATGTTGGCTTAGGGGAGGGGTATGTGGGCAGTTTCCCAGAAGCAATCAATCAATCAATCAATCAATCAACTTTATTTAAACACGGTAAATGGCTCAGCAAGCTGGTTTTCAGACATGCCGTGTGATAATTACAATTTATAAAAATTAAGACTAGTGATTAACTAACAATACAATATAACAGTAAGAAATGAGTATTAGAAATAAGATAAAAACATAATAAAAGCGTATTTCGGATCATGATTATACGTTTCTGGGAAACTGCCCACCTACCCCTCCCTTAAACCAACATTTTGCTCAGTGTTCCTATTAACAGGGTTTAACTGTATGAGAAAAAAAAGAGATCTTCACCATGTTGTAAATAGACGTTGTCCATTAGCAGGGTGGTGGTCGGAAGTAGCATCATATCTGCCAAACTAGGAATAAGCAACTCAGCAGACGGCTCTAGAAACAGATGTTGCAGAGCATTAGAAGACGTTATCCTTTCCTCTGGTTTACATTTTATCATCCTAATAAAGAAAACAAATTAGTCATTTGTTACTTTTTCTGAATACCATAAAAAGCTTGCTGATGTTTTAAATGTAGCGCAAACTTTTAAGCCCCGTGAAAAAATACGCAACCTTGTTGGCCAACAACTCGCAACATTTCTTTTGTTCCGTGATCGCCGAAGCGTAGCGGGAAAATGTTGGATCCGTTTATACAATTCTTCCTGAACATTGTTGGGGCCACGCACGCGCAATACCCATGGTCTCCAAAGTCTTATGAGTTGTATCCTTCCCACAATGCACTGCAGGTCCCAACATTTTTTAGAGTTGTTCCATTTGTTTGCACATCACTGCCAACACGGACGCAACAACTCCCAACAATTTTGGGAGTTAATGCGTCCGTTTGCTCATAGCTTTGGAGACCTCCGTGAGACTTAGGTGGAATTCCACTCCAGCGTAATTTTTACGCGCGTAAATAAAATGGACGCAATTTATGAAAAGCCGCGCGTACACATTTAAGTTGAACCTCGTTCAACTTCACTTTTACGCGCGGCCATTTGTACATTGCTTCTACTTTATTGACGCGCGTAAAATTTTCACAAAAATACGCGACAGTAGAATTCCACCATTACTCATGGTTGGGGTAACCTGTCAATCACCGATGAGTCTCTGGACTTGCTGTTGAATTTTTATTCTGGGATAGCTGTGTTCATTCGTATGTTTATTAGTGAAGCTGCATTGCGCATTAGCTGATTCCCCCTTTCTGAACTGAGGATATCATCAACTAAAACTTGCTTGGGTAAAAGGTGCAGACCAAAAAAAACCTAGAGAACCGCAGTGAGAGATGATCTGAAGGCACTAGACATCTCGTGGGACGATGCATTTATTTTTTAATAATGCTGACAAGCGACTGGATAGAGTGGAGAAGACTTGCTGTCCTTTCCCCAACAAAAGACAAGACTAGGAACTAACTAGCCACCTAACTAACTAATACATTCAAGTGATAAAAGAGGTGGTACGAAAACGTAAATTGAAATATAATCTGTTACTGCAAGTACAAACTGTCATACAAATCATAGTAGTTATTTATAGGTTTATACAAACAGCAAAAAACAAACAGTTTCGCGCAAACAGTACACAATACGCACGTGCAAGAAGAAGGTTTCATAAAAAAGTTAGAAAATAATATTCTTTGTTTTAGCTAGGGGTACCAGCAGTTGGACTTTTAAGAACTTCAGGTTGTCTTTATAATATATTTTAATAATGATACTTACTCACTTCATGATTAAATCATAAAATAACTCATTTTGTTCAGTCGTGATCTTCCTTCCATCATTCGGTATTTGAGTATTAATTTGTTTGAAATGAAGGCAAAGACTTTCCTACATCAGAGAAACAAAACAAAAGTGAGCCGATCAGGTCGCAGTAAGCTTCTAACATTGCCCTCTGAGCAAATTTCTTATCAATATAAGTTTACAACATGAAAATGTATGCTAATTAAGCCGCTGCAAAAAGAAAGCTGGAAAAATGTCTGTCTTGAATGGAATTTGAACCCATGACCTCTGAGGTATCAGTGCAGTGCTCTTACCATTAAACTCTTAAGCCAACTGGGAGCTCATCACATTAACAACTCTTAATATAACCCTCAAAACCATTCACTTCCACTCAAGTACAGTAGCTCTAACTATTGAGTCTCTGATGGTGTAACAAATTAAATGAAAACGTTTCAGTAGTTCTTGCACATGGTACTATTTGTTTGGTATGAAGTGTTTTTTGAGGCTGTGCTCAAAATCTTCTGGTGTAATCATTCCAGCAGATAAAATACCTTTTCAGTACTGCAAATTTGTTTTTCCTTATCTAAAAAAGAAGGTAAAAAAACTGCTGAAAGGAGAATGGTTTCAATGTACCTCTGCCTTTAAACAGTTGTCACAGACTGGGTTGTCCTGTTTCATATCTGCATGCTGGGGTCCCTGTGTACATGTACCACAGCACAAAGGCGAAACTCCACATATCACTGGCACAGCAGCATCCCTAGCAAAAATGAAATGCAGTGCAATGGCACACGGCTACTGTTAGTGATAAACCATATCATTAAAAATTTTTGAAAATTATCAAATATTTGTAAAATATTGATAGACTCATTCACCCCTGAACCGTCCGCAAGCGCGTTGTGTGGGGATCCATGTCTCTCCTACCGCTTATGATTTCATCAGTTTTAAGGGTCAAGGAGAACTTTGTCAGCTAACTTGTGCAGGGGGCAGAGATCTTTCAAACCATACCGGAATGAGCACGATTCAGTCATGGAGGCCAACCACTACCCACCTACCTTTCCTTTCATCTAATCCTAAGATCCTATTAAGCTTTCCCAAAAGCTTTTCCCACCAAAATGAAGCCTAAACTTTGCAAGCTAATATTTTGCACCTGGATCAGAAGGCCACTAGGTTTTAAATGGCTTTGTGGTAAGTTCTAGCTCTAGCTCTAGACAGACAGTGACCAGAAAATGGCTTGAATAACTTCAAAGCATGTTTTTCAGCAAAATTCTTAGGGGCAAATGGGTTAATCACTCATAAGTGACGTCAAGCCATTCACTATAAAAGGGTTTAAATGGGTTTTCTTTTGTTCATATATGTTCCTCCTGATTAGACAGTGCCATATTCATATTATGATTTCAAACTGTTTTGAATAAATGTAAGCATATACTCACTGAATTGCTTCTGTCAGCAGTGCCTTCAATAATCATTCTGTTCCACATTCCAGCCTCAGGGCTCTGATAACCAGCACTCTGAAGTGGCTGGTAAGGCTAAAGATTGAAATTTGCGGCTTATTTTCTGATATAAACATTACTACTGTATAATTTTTTTCAAACAAAAAACTCATTACTGATGCCTCATGGATTCTGTATTGAGTGTTAATTACTTCTGAAAACTTTGAAGGTCTAACATGATGGCATGCGTGGATAAGGTCTTTCAAAAACTTGTTCAACTGGGAATATGACAAATCCCAAATTCCAATTCAGTCCAGAATGGTAGACAAAGGACCATTTTTTTTTCCACTTAACATCATTATCATATGTTGCTTTATTTATATTTTCTTTATTTTTTCGATTGCATTTGAGATCAAAAAATACACATTAAACTCTCTCTGAACGGACACCTCTATAAGACAGACACCTTGCTAAAACGAACACCTAGATTTGGTCCCTGCATTTCCTTACTCTGTTTAGTTGACTCTTGATGAACATTTGAGATCGGACATTGGTTATAATCCCCCTTAGATATAAGCCCCTCCTAAAACCCAAACAAAGATGTACAAGCCAAGGGCTTCGCAGCAACAATTTACAGCATATTTAAAGTATTACTCATACTGTTAATATAACAGCTGATATGTAGATAAAAAACTTTTATGAAGCATATTACTGGTAAAATGATGTAAACCACTAAATCTGAAAAGATTTAAGTAATCTATCTTACTTGATTTTCCTTTTCAAAGCTCAGAGCAAAGTCTACAAGTTGAAAAAGTCCTCTGTTTGCATTCCACATAATATTGGACATCTTGACATCACCATGAACAACCATATTTGCAGCTAAAAATCTCAGGGCTTCTAAAATATGCCTTGCACATTCCTTGACAATGTAAAGAGGAAGACCTTTGTTTGAGTTCTTCAGTAAGATGTGATGAAGGTTGCAATCAAGCCTGTCAAATACCAAGTGCATCACACCTTTGAAGGAGAAGTAATCTATCAAACATGCTGAAAAGTAAAGAAAAATAAAAAAAATTACAATAACAAAGATGAATTGACAACACCATGTCACCATTCTCATTGTCAGTGGTTTTACCATCTGGCCATGCACAGATTAGGGCCATTTATACGAGGAAAAATAAGACGCGTCTTACATAGGACACATCTTAAATAAGACGCAAACTTTCCATATAAACGGGCTTTTTAAGGCGCGACTTACTAAGACGCGTCTTATTTTATTAACACCTGTTCTTAATAAGGAGCTAAGAAAAAAAAAACTTTCAGATAAATGACCTTCCTCCCCATCCCCTCCATGCAATGTTAATCTTTGTTCTAGCTGGATTAGAAAACAACATTCACATGAAAACAAGTTTGAACAGAAATAAGGGTGAACCATTTATACAAGCTGTTCTCACCTTAGATTACCCTCATAAAGAAAAATATTCTCTTATTTAAGACAATTTTTATTTTTCCTCGTATAAATGGCCCTATTGCTACCGTACTTTAGCAAATCACAAATAGTGACTCCCAGCTGAGTTACCATGCATCCATGCAACCATGCCCTTAAAGGACAAAAATTTAGACAGTAATAGGGTTCACACCGTGCCAGTCAAATTTTCAATTGTAATGGCTTAAAATTTGACCTTGATTTTGGCATTCAAATTTTGAACAGTTGGGCATCTAGGATCTTAATTCGGTTAGGGTGGTTCCACATGAACTGAACACCTAAGCGCATGAGTTTTCATCTGAACGAAAATTCATCCATTGTGATCTGATACATGCCAAATCTTTTTTTAGTTATAGGGATGAGCTTTTCATCATGAGAGCAAGTGCCAAGATTTTTTGTAAAAGACCTGATCATAACTGCATGAAAAGATCTGAAAGATTTCCAAGCACATTCCAACCTCCAACTTATCTTTACTGCTTTATTTTCCAAATTTTAAACTGGGTCACCATGGCTAGACTTGACTTTGCTTTATGATATCTTTTTTGCAAATGTGTCAGTTAAGACTTTAACAGATCAAATTCTTCTCCCACAGGCAGGCATGGTCCACAAACATGGGCTGGTATGAGTCATTGTGCGTTAGACTCACTTGGAGCATGATAAATGGCAGTGGGACAGAATTCAATAAATGCGTATGATCAGGGTTGTCGCAAAGGACTGATGGCTGAGGATTTTCCCCCATGGCTACAACTAGCATAACCTGGAGCTACTTTCATGAGAAAAAAAGTACAAAATAGAGCCAGAGAAATTCTTATCTGTTCAATTCTTCACCAACTATTTAATGCACACAGCTGCCACCTTGAAATCTTGGTGACAGTCCTGTGTATGAGGTAAATATATTGTAACTGATTAAGAGAAGCAGTTTATCTTCTAGCAGTGTAGAAGCTGATGAATCTTAGACTTAAACAATGGCAGTTAAGTTTCTTTGGGTCTCAAATAGCCCATTTTACAGTTACAGGTGAAAACGAGGCTGGAGTTGACCTTGTTTTGATACAACCCTTCCTGCTTTATTATGCAAATCATGTTGTTCTTATGCTGACTAGTATTTTTAAAGCATAATTTCCATCAGAAAAGAAAAGAGGTTTGTGTCAAAGCAAGGTCAACCTCAGCCTCACATTCCTCAAAGGCTAGGATACTAAGCCCATAACTGTAAAATGGTCTATTAAAGCATACATTACCAAAAATCCCAAAACTTCTTTGCAGTCTTCGCAAATGGAATCTCTCTTTCCTCCATGCATTTCTATCTTGTAGCCACGATCCCAAATGTAATTAACACCGATCAGCATTTTGCACTGACTTTTTAGATGCAGAAATTTAAATTCCTGAGACATGAAAGCAAGCATTTCTTCTCCCTCTCCCCCCAGACCCAGTGCTGTCAACTCTCTCGGATAATCCAGGAGACTCCCGATTTTGAACAGTTTCTCCCGGTCTCCAGATTAGGGTCTGAAGTCTCCTGGATAATTGCCGAAGTTTGCAATTTCTTGTAGATGCGACTTTCTGTCAATGAAATTTCAAATATTTTGCGTTGTTTGAGCTATTTAATGTTTAACATCGAACATTTCCTCAGAAACCCCAGTATGCCATTGTAATTGCCAACGAGCCATCCGAGCGAAGACGCTCGGATGGCGAGGTGGCAGCAGGATAGAGCCGCGTAAGACTGGGCAATAGGCAGAAAAATTCTCAATCGAGCTGAAAAAAGTGTAACCCAATGTAATGTAGGTTCCCCTGAGACCAAGTGGTCAGTTGCGAACCAATCAAAAGGCAGTACCTGGCGCACGGGCTCAAGTTGAATAACAAACAAAATTTCACACACTTCCAGCCATCGTGATCTCCTGTGTTTATTGACCTAAATTTTTTCGTCAAACCCGGCCACCGCAGTCAAGAGACATGAGCACTTGATATATTCTATTAATTTTAGGGCCCATAATGTTAAGTTTTAACGAAGAGAAGTTTGTAAAATGGCAAAAGTGTTCTATGTGCAGCAAGCAATATTCTCACCACTAAAAAGGATCAGATTACACGAGGAGATAAGGAAAGCTTGACACGAAGAATGCAGTCGCTTCTGTTGGAAAGTCTGGTGTTGGGGAAAAATCTAACCAGCAAACAAAAACAATGAGAACAAAAACGAATTACAAGCCTAAAGCGAACGACAAAGGAAAAGAAAACAACGCCATTTTTTTTGGAAACCTGGCCGAGTTCAGTATAAAAATAATGAACTAAAATTAAATACCGACGTGCCGTACATCGCATGTCCTTGGAAACATTTCAGATGGCCCAGCGAATCATTCTAAGTTTCAATCCGATATCAAAAAGCCTCGGGAAATTTGAAAGGAGGTTTAAATGATTAAACTGTGCAAATATTTATCAACAATGTGAAACTGAACCGACAGTAGATTTGTAGCTGGACTTAATAATATTCCCGATCGCTTCCTCTGCAAAGCTGACTTTATTCTTTCAAGGCACTTCACACTTTTACATAGCAGGTTTGTAAAGCCACCAGACTGAATCTGAGAACTTTTCAAGAAAATAATCCTTGCAACAGGAAGGGACCAAGAAACGGTCAGATGGGAAAAAAAAGGAATTTTATTCCTAAGCAAAATACGCATGATTTGCTCGTTGGCACTCTATCGATAGGTATACCTAGTATAAGTAATATTGTGATTGGTGGGAAGTAAACCAGTCAGGTACAAATGTTACAATTCCAACAACATCCTTTTTGCATGTTTTTTGCACAAATGATGTCATATTTCGTGCATTATGACGTCATCTATTATCCCTTCCCTTGACAGTCTCGCAGACCCCCCATGCCAACCCATCCCCAACCCCACCCCCAATCAGCTGAGAAAATTAAGAGAAAAGGGGAACTAATACAAATTTTTTAAAACATAAGACATTTTCACTATCTTCATTAGTACTCTCACCTATATGACAACACTTGCACTTGGTTAATTCTCCTCTACGACGCAAGTACTCTAGAATTTCTATTTCGTTAACACCAGCAGCTTCAAAACGTTGTGCTTGTTTGAAAATTTTAACGGCTGCTTTAATGTCCTGAGGTCTCCTGTGCATGGTGCTAGAAACAAACGATCCAACAGCCTCAACAACCACACTACACGTTCCACGTCCCACACAACGTCCAAGTTTCCATGTGTATTTCGTAGACCGTAAAATCTGCCCTTCGAATTCGTTCGAACTCGAGGTTTTCGCCATAATCAGCAAATTAGATCAATTTGCTACATACCAAACTGTATTTTTTCCCACTTTGTTACAAAGTGCAGCTTTTGAAAATAAAACATTTTTGTTGTTCAACTCTTGAGGGTGGGAGGGTTGAATTTTCCGCCATGTTTGTTTGAAACATTATTATTCTTAGAAGGGAGGGGAGGGTTTACCATTTGGATTGCATTGAAAGGACTTCTGACTCTAGGACTCATACTAAAAAGTGGTTTCTAATCCCTTACACTTCATTTCTACGGCTACATCATATTAAAAAGCGTTAATACATCATTTCACTCATCTTTTTGTAATATAATCAATATGCGAGAATAAAACAAAAGTTGACCCCAGTGGGCCCCCCTGAATAAATTTTACGCCCGCGAATGTTCTCACGGCGGTTTTCTTACTGAGTACGCGCAAAAGACGTAAACACCATGTGAATCGTATCCCCTGAAAGTTTCGTTGGAACTTGTCGACTTCTAACGTTGTTCCTTCAATATAGGAGTGTTGATGCAAACAACCAAGTAATGGAAACCTTATTAGACGAAAAGGAAATGGAAGACCCGGATTACCAAGCCGCGAGCAAAGAACATAAGCGTGAGCAAGGAACACTTAGCACAAGACAACAAGACGCGAAAGACCAAGCCATACAGAGAATTGAACGGATTATTCGACAACAGTTCAGTTTTGAGATTCACTTGAAGGAGAGAGAAATCGATATTATCGATGAGAGAATTAGTCAAACAAAGGCAATGCTAGACAGACTGAGAGCTTGCGTTTTGGCGAAATATTATGGCACCTCCGAACTCAGAGGAAATCGTACAAGTGCTAGCAAAGCTGAATTCTGTTCCAAGAGATCAGCGCGGAATGGCATGAAGAAAGCTGAATTTCAAAGAACTGAACCGCAAAAGGTAAATAAAAGTAATAGCTCTTTTATAACAGAAGTTAAAGATTCTTCAAATGTAAACAAGCGTGCATTTAATGATACGCTTACGAGCAAATGTGCAGTTAGTCAAGAAGTCAATTCAAACAAACCAGCTGAAACGGCAGTGAAAGGTGACCCTGTTGCTCCAAGCGAGAGCAGAATTTTACTCTCTACCGAAAATCAGGGAAAATTAATGGCCAGTATTCATAAGAACGTGAATTTTGATGCGGCAAAAACATCACAGGGGCTTGAATTTCCAAGTTTGTCGTCTACTAAACCAACCAGCGAGGGAAGCTCACCAAGTGTCAACAGAAGCTCTTCAAATGTATCATCTCTGTCAGTCGCTTGCACTGGCTCACGATTCTACTTGAAGAAACGTGTTATTATCGGTAACACATCAAAGTACATCCCCATTGACAACCGTGAAGACAACGACAAATCTACCCACAAGTGGATGGTGTATGTACGAGGTACCCCTGAGGACTCGCATATCGAACGATTTATAAAGAAGGTGTGGTTCTTTCTTCACCCAAGCTATCGCCCGAACGACATAGTTGAAGTGAACAAGCCGCCTTTTCATTTGACCAGAAGAGGTTGGGGGGAATTTCCGGTGCGAGTACAGCTACACTTTGTTGATCCTAGAAACAAAAGAGTGGATATTATCCATGAATTGAAGCTGGATAGAACATACACTGGGCTTCAGACATTAGGCTCCGAAACTATTGTGGACTTGGAGCTGGATCGCAGAACATTTGAAGACAACTGTATAGCTCTTAATCCAAGCTTAGAAGAAAGTTTTGCTACAAATCTGATTTCCGTTTCCACCAACAGTGATCAACGTCCTTACATTGACAACGCTAGCCTTAATAAAGAGCAAACTAGAATGTCAGCTTTGGTCAAGTTTCCGGCGAGTTTAGACAGTCCAAGGGAGCTCAAAAAATTCAAATTGGAGTCTCCACTCTCAGCGAGCCCGTCATCGGTTCCGTCCACACCAGTAAACAGTCAACCAGCCTCTCGTTGTACAAGCCCAGAGCCCGAGTCAGAAAACGTTAAGGTGAAAAAGATGTCGGAGGAAATGCATCAGCTTTTGCGATCGGCAGTGAAAGAACACCCGTTAATTCAACCTGAGAGAAACGTAATAAAGTATCCTTATTGTTCGTCTTCAGTTGATCAGTTCCGCAGCTGGAACATCGCCAAGAGAAGAGCCTGTGAGTGGCAGAGGGCAGCGGCTGTTAGAAGATCTATTTGCCGATGTACCCCTTCTTGTAAGCTGAGCACGAAAGATATCTTGTTGTGGTGTCGTCGGCTTGGTTACACGCCATGTGATAAAGTGGGTGAGAATTGTATGTTCTGTAAATTTTGTGGGCATTGTATTGGTGATGCGGCATCAGATGAAGCTCAAGAAGCGGCTACTCACAAATGCGAGGAACAAACTTTCAACAGCTGTACGTCAGCAAGTCGTCTTTTCTCAGAATTGGAAGGTAAAGAAAGTTGCCTTCCTAATGTACCACTAACCTGCACTGAATCAGAGAACTTGGAAGTAGATGTCGTGGGTTTCTTTCCCGAAGAGGGAAAAATTAAATCGCCAGAAAAGAAGCCAAGAATGCTCTCACTCTGCCCCACTCTGGAACAAGAGTGGATACGTGAGGCGTGCAGCGATATCGGAATCTCGCTCAAGCCTGTCGATATTGACGGCGTTTATACTCATGTAGTGGAAAGCCTCCTTTTAATGGCAACTAAAAGGTTTGCCGACGATATTATACGACGGTCTTGGGCTTATGCCACTGACAAGACTGCGTCATATGGTTGTAGGCTCGTCACACCTAGTCACGTGCATAAAGCCGTCTGTTCTCTATCTAGCTGCGACTTTCTCCGGAATTCGTACCTCGGCGAAGAGGTACCTATGGACGAGAAGTAGGTACCGCACGTGTATTGTAGTTAGCACCGCCCAAAACTTTATTTTGCCCAGTTTAACAGAGGGAGACCGCTGTGTTGTCTTCAATCTTAAAACGAGCAAACATTAAAGTACTTTTACGAGGCAATCTCTCGGTTTCTCTGTCGCGCCAATTTTGCAATTTCAGGACACACCAACTGGTCATAGAATTTCCTTGATATGACTAAGGTTGTGATATATAGGTTGATTGGATAAACGCTGTTTTTAGCTAGTCGAGACGTTCTCTGGTCACCATCTGGCCACACATGAGATGCAAAACTGTCCAAAACATTGCCAAATTACAGCGCACTTCGTTCGGGCATGCTCAAAAGACAAAATTCTTCTCCTGCTTGGTTTCCAGTTGTCTTCGGCGTGTTCATATGTGACCGGTTGGGTGGACGATCTTACGCTATCGCGTTCGGTTCCAAGCCTCCTACCCTCCTAGCATAGCACGACTTCGTTTGAGTGCGAGGCTTTTCTCAGATTTTTGTTCTTTTGCTTCTCCTTTTAATTTCGGTGGAAAGTGTTTTCGTGAAAATCCCGAAGATCGGGAAATCAATTTTGTCGGGATCCACCCTGAGTACCCCTTTAAAAAATACCGTTGTCATTGACCGCTTACCTTTGACGCCTATATCAGATTTGGCTCAGTCAGTTTCTCGTGTCTTCCACACAGTGAGAAATTCATCTCTCAAGGCTAAATGAAACTTGTCGGATATTCAGCAACTCATTTGTATCATCAGCTGGATATTTTTGTCATAGTCTTGTGAGGTGAAATTCCAGTGAAAACTTCGCCGTGTCCAAGAGGGAATAGCTTAGCTGAGGCCTTGTGAGGCATTTAATTTTACTCCGTTCGTGGAAGAAGGTTGAAATAAGAGGGGAGGGGGAATTCCTGCGTGCGAGAACACGTAGGGCGCGCGCCCTTCTCGCGCGCTCGAATTCCCCCTCCTCCCCTTCCCCTTCCCCGTCGAACAACTGCCAAGCTGTGTTGCCTCTTCTGTTCCGTGGGCTACAAGCTTCTTTCCCCATCAATTCTCTCCAGTTATTAGCATTTTGCTGCCCTGGGGAAAACACCGTATATCTTTTAAGTCTGATTGTAACCCTGCGACGAGAATAGGTTACGTACGCAAGCTCAGCCGCTATAGTAATATATGCTCACAAATTGGTCATTGCGGTGAAACTATAGGGGAAGGGGGTACCACCCTCGACTTAAAAGCGTTACACCTAGGCGCTGTTACTTTTTTATTTCTTTTTGTATTTCCTTTTTTTTTTTTTGCCTTTTCTCCGCTGTACAAGGATTGCTTGTCAGTTTTACATATCTTTTCCGCCATTGTAACAGACGAGACAACTTACAATACACACTCCTTTTTTCTGTCGAAAAATTATAAACCGCAGGTGCAGAAAAATGGTTTATAAGGGAAAAACTCTTTGATCTCTCTAGTATCTTGGAAGCGTCACATAGACTTTTCGCCGTTAAGTGATCTGTAAGCCAGATTTGGGCTGCCGCAAATATCATAACGTCTCTTCTTTTATTTAGAACTGGCCAGTGCAGTGAAGACACCACAAATCGGATATCTCCTATATTGTAATCACTCTGGGGATAGTTAAAGTTTAAATGAAAAAATACTTAACTCTAACGGTGGAGTCGTTTAATGAATTTGGCGGCGCGACTGACCACCGCCAGCGATAACAAATTCTGCAAATTGCTTTATTATTCGCATTAAATAACCCGTAAGGAAAAATTAGGTCACAGCCAAAAAAATTTGACTTCGGTCTCTTAGTTGCGTGCTTTATCAATCAAATAAGCGGTTAAAGGAGATCGTATCTTTGCCCTCAGCTCCGGTCTGTAAAGCCCTTGTTATCAGGACAAATCTGAGGTCTATATGTTACATTACTTGCGCTTTGCTTAAAGATCACTTAGTGACCAGATTTGCCGATAACAACGTACAAGGCCATCGTAACTTTCATGTTTTGCGACGTTTTGAAACAAAGCCGTTATCATCCTTTTATTCCATAAAATGACAAGTAAACGCCGTAATTCAAAACCAAACGCCGGCTGTATTTCTCGCTTTTGATATAGCTATCTTACTTAGCTGTTTCGCTGCTTTTAATTTTTTTTCTGAAGATATTAGTGACAACTCTGGCGGATTTTAGAAAATATAAGCTCTGCGTGATACGCTTTTTTTGTCAATGTAGGAAAAAATGTTGTTTTGCACAAAGTAAATTAGATTGAACTGAAGCGCATGGACATAACAGGTAACTCAGTAAACGAAAAATAATAAAGAGGACTTTTTGGACTGCCTGTAGTAAAAAGAAATATTAAAAGCAAGAAAAAAAAAAAACTCGAACACATTTTTGAATATAAATCTGATTACGACATAATCTCCTCTTTTTTGAGGAAGCACAGTGATCTCAAACAAACTCCCTGCAAGGAATTTAAAACCCATAAAGATTAAAATCGGAAACCCTTTTTTCTAAGAGCAAATACCTGCTAAATAAAGAAAAAACGTGCCATCCTAGTTAAGTAGGAAATTGAACTTTGATGAAAAGGCTAAAGTTTTTCTTTATTCACTTGTTATTATGTTCTTCAGGTGAATGCCCCTTTCCATTTTCTTGTTTGACCCGCAAGTTTAACATTTTGACATAATATCATATTTTTACTTCCCCTTGGAAATTACAGTGCAGTTTAGCAACTGAATTTCTGTCGAGGATGATGCTTTTAGACCACTCAATGTCAAATACAACACAGCAATTTCGTGTGGTGGGATTTCTGTTTATTTCCTATAAAACGGTACTTGAGTAAACCTAAAGTCCACCCATATATTTTAAACGATCTAACCTGTCAATCAAATTGACAGGTTAAATATGAGCATAGTAAGGCACTTTACAGTGTTCATAAAGCTTGCTTGCAAATTTTTTACAAAATATTTACATTATATACAACTGAAAAGTGCATAAGTACTTTGTGATTACCATTTTCGCTGATTTGTTTGCAGTCTTTGATCAGCCTATCAGTCGCACATAGTAAAAATTAACTATTCGCTATAGAGACCACGCGGCTGTAGATTAACGGACCAATTTTTGAAATGTTCTATTTTAGTTTAAATTTCTAGTATCAAATATAACATGTATTAAATGCTCGTTTTTACAGCTCTCTTTTTGCCTTTATATGAAACTTTTTCTACTAGATTCTAGAATCTTTTTCTGGACTATACACTATTGGTTAATAAAGATGATCCGGATCAATTGTGAGTAATTTGCGTTCCGAAGGAAAACTATGAAACGGTGATTCAATGGACGCTTTTTATCATACATATTTATTTCTTATGTTGTAATAGTTATTATTTTTTTTAATAAGTAAGAAGTAACTATTGCGAGATGCTTTCTAAATCAGGAGAGTCTGGTGAAAGTTCACTGAGAGCTGTTTCATCGTGGAGGCTTTTTGACTGCTGGGCTGCAGCCTTCGCTGCTTCGTGCAATGGCCGATGCCTTGCCGATTTCTGATGAGCTCGTAGTCCTGCTAATTGCGAGTAGGCGAAGTGACACACTTTGCACTTGTAAGGCTTTTCCCCCGTGTGGAGCCTGGTGTGGTTCCGAAGCGTTGATGACTGAGAAAACGACTTCTTGCAGTACTTGCACTGGAACGGTTTTTCAAGCGTGTGTATGCGCATGTGTGAACGCAAATTACTACGAGAGTTGAAGCCTCGTCTGCAAAGCGTACATTTAAGTCTGCCAGGTACAACGTTGCTTTTAACTCGTTCGGGGTTAAACTTGTATATTTGGTCTTCTGCTATAAACAGAATAAGAACACAGAAGATTAGTCAACTTGTAGTTTTTTTCAATAACAAACAACTAGGCATTTCGCTAGAATTAATATTCCCACAAAATCCCCCGTAATTTATAGCCCGGTTGGACACTATTTCCTGTTTTCAAACGTACAATAGGGCGCAGGAAATGTGGAAAGTGGTCCCAGTAGTTCAGTTCCAAGATAAATATTTCACGCTGAGCTGGAAATTATACAAAGCGATTTACGAACAGTGTGAAATCAAAATTGAAATAACTAAGTCCTCTTCATATAGAAAATCAAAACATTATTTCTTTAAAAAATAAAATACCGATTTGATGACAAATAAGAAGACGAACAAGTGTGCGACTCTCAACTTAGTATTGTTAATACGTTCTTCGTGCAATTAAGCGAAAAAAAATACTTTATCATGCTGCTGAGAAGATATATCTATTACATTTTTAGCAACTGTTAAATTATTATTCTCACTGCGAAGTTTTTGTGAAGCATTGTTAATGTTCTGGTAGCTATAGCCATAAAGATTTTGAAGTCTATTTTTCGAATTATCTCCCACCTTCCTATTCAAGGTGAGAAAGGATTTATCAGTAATTAAACCGAAATGTTGAAATATTAAATACATTGTGTTTAATCAGTTTCAGTGAGTCAGCAAAAAGAATTTATACCAAAAAAATCGCAACTATCCTTATGCAATTTTCCGCTTTGTTAAACAAGCTAGAAAGTTCGGTCTCATGTAAAACGGTGACCATTCACTAAAAATTGTACAGGCTTGCACAGCAAACGATCCCTGTGTGCACACTGAATTATTTTCGTATGTTATTCTTATTTAAGTGCAATAAGGTTTCAATTATGTGCGCTGCAATCTGAGTAATGTAGACCTGTTTCATTTGAAGAAAAAATTTTGATTGAGTTGAAAAGAATTCTGATGGCACGCGCTTTTGTTAGCGATGTAATGATGGAGTAAAGCATAGTACAGAAGCGAAAATTAAAAGAAACTGAATTTCTTTCAACTCCCAGTGAGTCATTTAACAGCATTGAGGAAGATTATTTGTTTACTGATTTTGCATTTAAACCAGGTAAATTCAAAAAAGTTCATTTCACTTCTTTTCGACCAAAAAAAATCGCACATTGCCGCTGTTTTTGTTTGACCTGCTTCCCTATTGTAGCTAACCGTGGCAGATTTGAG